TGTTTGATTTTCTTGGATCTCTCAGTACGTTTTGCTACCATCAGTCATATCATTCTTCAGGATGGGGTAGCTGGGCTGGGAGTTGAAGATACCTCACTGGAGTGGTTCCATGCTTACCTGGATGGCCATTTCCAAAAGGTGGTCCTGCTCTTTGTCTTGGCAGCTATGCTGTGGAGTTTCACAAATATCAATACTGTGACCCATGATGTTCATTATCTACATGAAACCTCCACTGGGGAGGTAATCCAGATATTTATTTATTTAAAACTTTTTTATTCATACAAGTCTCTGGATAGTCCAACAACAACAGCACTGCATCACATCTATATTATTTTATTTATTTATTTTTCAATTTATATCCTGCCTTTTTCCTACAAAGGACTCAAGGCAGCTTACGTCTCCTCCTCCATCTTATCCCCACAACAACCACCCTGTGAGGTAGGTTGGGCTGAGAGTCTGTGACTGGCCCAAAGTCACCCCGTGGGCTCCATGGCTGAGCGGGGACTAGAACCCAGATAGTCTGAGTCCCAGTCCCATGCTCTTAACCACTACACCACACTGGCTCTCCATATATGTGCACTGACATGCCTTTGATATGCAGATGATACCTAGTCCCATCTCTCATTTTCATCAAAACATGGGAGGCAAGGACTGTGTGAATCAGTGTTTCAGTGTGGTCATGGAATGGATGAGGGCCAATAAACTTAAGATTCAGCATAGACAAGGTGGACAGGTTCTGGGAGGTTTGCCTGCCCTGATCAGTGGTATTCAACCTATTCTGGAAAGGGTTACATTCCTTCTTAAGGGTCAGATTTGTGCTTTATGGATGATGTGGCATCCAATATTGTCAGTAAAGGCACAGATAGACTTGGTGACACCAAGCGCTTTTCATCAGTTTCAGGTGCTATTTTGACTATGTCTATATGTGGAGAGAGACAGACTAGCTACAATTATCTATACTCTGGTATCCTCCAGTCTAGAATACTGCAATTTGTTATACATGGGGCTGCCTTTGAAAATAGTCTGAAACTCATCCAAAATAGGACAGTGAAATGACTGACCGGCATGATCATATCATGCTAGTAATTTTCAATATGGACTTGCTGCCAGCCCAGGTCCAGGCCCCATTCAAAGCCCAAAACAGCTTGGAGCCCTTAGGATACCTGAAAGATTGTCACTCCTGCATATTCTTGCCCAACCATAAGATTATCCTTATCGGTCCTTCTGCAGGAGCCCCTGCCAGAGGAACTGAGGTAGTGCCAAAAAGAGAGCCTTTTCTGTTGTGACACCCAGAAAGGCTGGCCTGATGCCCACAGGGTTCTCCTCCCATCACCAAGTAAAAAAGGCCTTCCTATTTTCCCAGTCATTTTATTCTTCCAGTTACTGTTTTGAATCTGTTACTGCATTTTAATCTTTGCACTGCTGCTAGGGTTTACTTTGGGCTTTAATTCTATTTTATACTGTAGATTTAAACTTTTATTTAAACAGCTTTTAAACAAACAACTAATTGTTAATTTTAATTTTAAATAGCTAATTGTTGTGAACTGCCCAGAGAGGCTCAGCTACTGGGGGCTAAAGAAATATAATGCATATATAAATAAATAAAATGAAGTGGAACAGTGGCTCTTAGACCTCATGTTTTAAATTCATAATGAAAGGAGAGGAATCATTTTAATGTTATGCTTTCATTGTTTTGAGGAGATTATTGCAGTCACATATCCTGCGACAGAGCAAATATATTATCATAATCAGTGATTCATTGAAATGACAAGCAGTTTGCCCTATTGTTGCCTCAGAGGCTATGCTGAGTCTGAAATAAAAGGCAGTTATAATAATTACACACTTGAATGGGGTGGAATTGTGTATTCAGAAATACATGGTACAGCCCAAGCTTTATCTCTATCAAATTAAGTAATCCAAATGAACACTCACCCTCCACTCCTATAGCCTCTATCGCTTCATTTAAATGCCAGCTTATTAATGTTCCCTCTTTTCTCTTATTCCCTAAAACGAGTTGGACAGCTTTCGACACGGACTGTGCTGATAATCGACACGATTAAGCCCAGCCCGGTCCAGTATTGCAAAGGTGCCTATGGGTGGTGACAGTGCACAAAGATGTATGGTTAATTGCATGGGGGCATCACACTGCCAGAGCAACCATAGCTGCAGATTACATAAATAGGATCCAAAAAGATCAGGATTATTGTTCTCTGATTTGAAGCACTGGGGCTTCCAGTTTGAGTGGGGAGACACCTGCCTCAACAAACAAATTGCTAGGGACCCTATGTGGAAACTCGCTATTAGATCAGAGTGTCATCTGCTTGTATTGGTAAAAGTTTCTTTTCTTTTTTAACTCTCATGCAGCGGTGTGAATATTCAGAAGCAAGCAGCTTGGGAGAAGGGAGGTTTAGTCCTCCCCTCCCATGCCCAGTTTCCTGTATCACATCAGGGCCCTGTATACCTGCTCTAAAGTTAAAAGAAAGATAAGGCTCAGCTGTATGCTACATTATTAACATGACATGTAGTTTGACATTGGCTCATGTATCCTTAAACTCTCTGTTTCCATCCCAAAATTCTTTTTATGTGTGACCTGTACTGTCTGTAATCTCCTTGTAGTTTTCTGGCTTTGATCTTATCTGAACGAATGTAACTGTCTTCCTTTCCCTTACATGATATGCTTCTGTGTCTCACAGTCCTATCAAGTGCCATGTTAGAAGACAGCTTTTTGATTTTTCCCTTTTTTAGTATATTAAATCCATCTCTTCCCTCAGAACTAAAGAGAAAGCTGCATCTTACATTTTCAACATGAAAGATAAACAATTGCCTGTGCTTTCCTTATTCCAAGTGGTCCTTGGGTAACTGAAATCTGAAACCATCATATCACCTGGTAGAATTCAGTTTCAATGTCTGCAAACCTTCCCCCTTCCTCATACTATCAGTCTTTTTAATTTGTAATTATAATAAAACAAACCAAAAAGGGAGGGAACCACAAAGAATAACAGCAAGAACATAGGAAAAACAATAAAGTCCTGTCACAGTAACTGTTTGCAACATTGCTGATGTGAAACACTGTATGACATTCATGTTCCAAATACACCTGTTAATAAAAGAAGAACATATCTCTAAATAAGTGTTCCACGCTGTAGTCAATTGACCACTAAGATCTTCAGGCCACTGAATAATAGGTGGTGCGAGTTTGTCTTTTCAGGCATGGAGCACAGGTTTCTTAGCAACTTAGCTCTCAAAGTCCACTTTTCTGTCCATCTGTTAGTCCAGAAATATAATTTAAGTACATGAGCATACACAAACATCACAGATTTTTCAAGAGCAAGTTTTATGTGAGCAATAATTTCCGACCAAAGAGAAGTTCATGACAGGGCATGCCTACATTATATGGCTCGGCAGTGCATTATCCTTGGAACAGACTGTTACCTGTTTCCTAAGTAGTGTATTTTATCTGCTTCAGCAGCATTTAGCCTTAAAGCTAAACAATTTTAACTGAGGAAAGAAAAGGGGAAAAGAAGATAATGCCATACAATCTATTTTACGGAGATACTTAGAATCTCGTATTGTAACTCTCGTTTGCCAATTCATTTTCCTCCTGCCTACTCAGTCACACCTAACATCAAAGGGATTGTGATTATTTGTACTGCATGAACATTGTCCACTACCCACTTCCCAGTAATTCATACTTTCAGAGAGAAGCGCAGTCCCCTGCTAGTTTAGACAGAAAAAACATGCACAACTCCCAACAGGCTCCAACTAGCATAGTGGCTGAGACATCATCATCATCATCATCATCATCATCATCATCATCATCATTATTATTAGAACATTTCTATGCCGCCCCTTGCCGAAGCCTCAGGGTGGCTTACAACACAATAAAATACAATACAATACAAAAATAACAATATAAAATTAAAATTAATAATATAAAATAAATAAAAAATATAAAAGATATAAAAGAGGTTATAAAAGAAAAGTTATAAAAGGAAAGAAAAGAAGTTGCATGCTGGGAGCTGTAGTTCTTACTTCTGTATGAGCTTCAACATTATTGCAAACTAAGCTTCACTTAATTTTATTGTCATTCTTTTAGTCTGCCCTTACGTGGATTCTATCCCTGTTTGATTTTATTGGGCTCTCAAGATGCATGCTTAATTTTAGTCATGAGGCAGGGGATGATGGGCAAATGAAACTGCTGAACTGATTTCAGCTCTGATCCAAGTACTCTTGCTTATGGATGATATACGACCCTAACAATCCAGTTTCAGGCCATACTTTTCTTTCTTGCATGAAGTAATTTTTGTTACTTGATGTTATAAAATGCTGTATTAACATACTTTAATGATCAGATTTGCACAGCTAAAATGTGTGAGGGACTAGCAACGGCAAACTTGATTTGAAAAAGTGATTTAAACTGGGATTTTCACTCAGTGATTTAAATCAGAGGTTCATTTTGCATGTCACAATGACTGAAGTTTTTCTGTGCTGTGGCTTATTATGAACGAAGGAGGACACTGGTGCATGCTGACCCATCAGTTCCACAAAATGATGAAACTATCCATTGATGAGCTGTCTCTGGGTTGGTTGGCGTTACACTTGAACTGGGACTTCCGGCTTGTCTTTCCCTGGACATGGCTGAGAAATAACCCACAGTTCATTCTTGGGTGATTTCTATGGAGTATCAAGAGATAAACAAGCAAGAGTTCCTGGCTCTCATGTAGTTCTAACGAAGCAACCAGTGGAAGGACTGTGATCTATTTAGCTGCTCCCATCTGTGGCATGAACAGTGCCTCATTGACAGTAGAGCACAATTAAAAAAAAAAAATGGATTGTCATGATATGCAAACCAAATCAGTGTGATTCAAATTGCCTTCCCTTAAATCAGGTCACCATATAAATATGTAAATAATGCTTGTAGACATGTGTGTCCCGCAACCAGATTGTCAAGGCAGCTAGCAAGAAGTTCAAGAAGGTAATTTATGTTACTTTATTTGCAGGTGGAGATTTACATTTTATCTTTACATATTCACCTATGGTTCCCGGCTCTTGAAAGAGGTAAGATGCATGGTTTTTTGCTTGAATGATTGCCATTTGTTCTTAGTATTAGGCATAACGTGAGCCTGTGACTATTGCACCTCTCAAACAAATTATACATTAATACTGCTGTTGGATGAAAATTCCTGAATCATGCTGTTGTCTTGTGGGCACTTCTAGTAAATGATTCGGTACTTGCAGATACTTTCAGTAAATGTTCCCTTTGGTCAGGCAGCCATGTATCTTTGGATTAGTCTTAATATCCCCTTGAATTTTTCCTCTATTTTGTTGGTCTTCCTGTATCTCCTGGTCAGTGATGTTTTCCCTGAATTACGCCATTGCAAAAAACATGAGGCCCAACCCAAAGGTTTTTCAAACATGTACATTTTGTTTTAATACATACACAAAGCTCATACACCTACCACAATTTTGCTATTCAGCTTTGGCCTATGAAGGCAGGGTGAATGAGTGTTTCCTGTCAGGTGGAATGTATTTTGAAAGTTTTATGTGGGTAGAAAGTGCTGGTAAGAAACTGTGCAGCACTTTCTAATTACTGCTTGGGGAGCATGCTAGTCTATGAGTAATAGACTTGGACAGAATTACCCAAGTAATAGGCTTGGGTAATTCTGTCAAGATTAGATCTTCCAGGAGGTCTGTCACAGGTTCTTTGCAGCATAACTTTGTGCTATAATACCAGGAAGCCAGCATGGCACTGTGGTTAGAGTGTTGGACTGGGACTTGATTCTAGTCTCCACATGGCCAGAAAGTATACTAGGTGACTTTGGGCCAATCACTCACTTTCCATCTAAGCTACACCGTAGGGTTGTTGTGAGGATAAACTGAAGAGGCGGAGAGTCTTATGAGCTGCCTGGGATTTCTTGCAAGAGAACAAAAGATGGGGTGTAAATGGGAGGAGGAGGAGAGCAACAGCAACGTGGGGTACCTTAGAAACATAATGCTGGAATAGGGAGGAGACATTGTGATGTGTGTGTCTGCTATTCCTCACTCTTCCTTATAATAGTGGATGAAGTGCTTTTCCTGAATACAGTTCCCTCCTTTATTTATTTATTTATTTGGTTTGTACAACTACAAAATATGATTGGGAAGCTTTATGGGCATCAAGAGACCATATCCCATGAGCTGGGAAGTGCCTCCAGAACTTGGAGATGTTTCTTACATGTTGCTATCATCCTTGCATGGTTTTGATTGCTGAACCAGTTATAGGCCCTCGCAAATCATGAAATGAAGCCAGATCTTGACTTAGAAAACAAATGTGGAACTGAAGGCAAGGGAGTGGATCCAAAGGCGAAAGAGACAGGGCCAAGAATGCCAATTTTTTTTTTTTTTTTTTTTAGCTTAAAGCTCTTTTGTATGAAAATCTGTTTTAGGTGAATGCAGGAAGGAAGGAAGGAATTGCAAAAAAAATAAAAAAAAAGCAAGCTGGGAAACCACCAAACATTTGAGCAAAGAGGTACAGCCTTCTGAAGAACCCTGGCTCCCAGACCTTTGGTTCCTCTCTCCTGCTTTTATTTGATAGGCTTTTGAGGAGCATGAGATAATTTGTACTTATTGCTGAACCCAGTATATGCTTAGCTTGCATTCACAGGTCACTCTTATATTAAATAAGCTTCTTTTCCCCACATGAATCTGTGGATTCTTGCATATTCAAACTAAATATAAGGACCAATTTCAATCCACTGTTTCCTGCTATCATGAATTGTTCTATTAAATAGTTACTGAATTATATATAACATGTTTTAGAAGCTCTGAGGTTTTTGATGTTTATAGGATTAATAGCAATGTGATACATGTAGCATCCCTTTTTCAAGAGGTGTTTGTGAAGAGAATATGACAGAGAACTACGATTGTGCTTTCAGAATTACTACTTGCTTAGGGAAAAAAACACTGTAGATTTACATCTTGATATAGGGTCTCAACTGAAGATTCAGATGAAATTTTCCCATCCTGGACATACCAAGGGTTATTTCTAAGTGTCTGACAGCAGTAAACAGGGAGCAGCAAATGCAAAACTTGATAGGTTTAATTCCATTCTAGATTCCTGACAGTGTTGTATAATATCAGAAATATTTAGAAAGATATTTAGCATTTAGAGGGTTCACACTTTGACATTATTGATTGAGATACTACACTTTGCAAACCTGTAATTTTTCTGCAAGTACATAGTGCTCAATGCAAATGCTTTTGTCCTTAATTATCCTGACAGGATTCCCATTTGTTCCTGGCAAAGTTGGTCTTTTAGGACATAAACTATAATGCATAGGCATACAAATGTCCTACAACTCTCAGAAGGTTTTTCCCTCTAAGCATGCATGTGATTATGACCTTAATGAACTAGAGACTTTCTAAAGTGAAAGAGGTGGTCCACTACCTATGTAAAGCATCTGCCAGTGTTAACTTGTATTTCTTTATTTAGAATGTCCTATGTGGTGATCCTTTGTGTGTGCTTTGTTTTAAAACCACTTATTTCTGGTGAGGAAAGTTACAAATTTGCTGACATTTCCTCATCCTTGCCTGTGGTGGGTCATAAACCAAGTCAGTCTGTTTCCCCTTTTTTCCCAGTACAGTCCTAGTACAATAGCAGTTCTGCAGCGTATTTATACCTCAATATTTGAACTGCAGCTCTATATAGCTACCCAAACATGGTAATACTTAGAATGAACAGTGGGGTAATCATCTTCCCATACTGTCTCATGCTAGTGATGCAGACTGGTCTAGCACACAGTGGCCAAACAGCTGCCTGCGGGAAACCCACAAGTGGATATGGGTGCAGCCCTCTCCTGCCCATGTTCCGCTGCAGCTGGTGTACACCAATGGCCAGTGATCCAGCCCTGATGGCTGTACGCTTCCTCCAGTATCAGAGGCTGTATGCTCATGTACACCAGTTACCAGGGAAGTTTTCTTAGGTTCTTATGTACATAGGCATGGTGGTTACAATCCAGGAAGTAGTATATGGCCATCATGCATTATATTTCCCCTTTATTTACTTTTTACCATGACATCTGTATATATCCCCCCATTTATTTCCCAGTCATAAAATCTGTGTACGTTTTCCAGTTGTTTAAAAAACATGCAAATTTGACAGAACTGTGCTCCTCTAAGTGAATTTCCATGTTCCGTCATTCCTATATGAACAGCACTACTGAATTTACATCAAAATGTTTCATACACTCTCATCTATAACTTAATAAGATGAATATATCTCTGAGCTTAAAACTTCTTTTCACCTGCAGTGCGTTGCAGATGTATTTGCCCCCTTTGACTTTTCCATTTTATTCTGTTACAACCTGGAATTGGAATGTATTTAATCTGCATTGTTGCCACTTGATGTACACAAGATACACAATGCTGTGAAGATGAAAAATAATTTATCATGGCACAAAAGTTAACTCCTGACAGTTCTTGGTTGCATAGGTTTTTGCTATGGAATGCCTAAATAAACCACTGCCTCTGGATGCCAGTGTAACTAGGTGAATGGAGCCCCCTTCCCCATGCAATTCCAGTGTCAAGTTATCTCAGATTAGATACATCTGCTCCTGAAGACCCCAGATTTTGTTGGACAACATATCTAAAGAAACAGCACCATGAAGACCAAAGAGCTACCAAAACAATTATGGGGTAAAGTTATGAAGATGCTAGAAGTTATGAAGATGAAGTTATGAACAGTAAAATATCTCAAAATGTTCACGTCCCCCAGACACTATTAAATTCATTATTACAATGTGGAAATAATATAGTTCAGCCATGTCTCTGCCTAAAGAAGACCATCAGCCAAAAATCAGAGCGGGGCTTTGAAGGAGCTTGAGGTATTCACAGCTGAGAAGAAAGAAACCATCTTTGGGGCAGTTGTCAGCCAGACATTCCATAAATCTGAGCTTTATGGAATGGTGATGAAAGGAAGCCATTGCTGAAACAAATCAGTATAAAACCCATTTGGAGTTTGCAAAAAGGCATGTGGGACACAGTAAGCATGTGGGAAAAGCTGCTCTGGTCTGATGAGACCAAATGGAACGTCTTGGTCTTGCTGCAAAACACTGCAAGTGTTGCAAAGCCAACAATGCTGATTGTGAAGCATGGTGGTGACAGCCTTATGTTGCGGGGATGCTTTTCCTCAGCAGAGACTAGGAAACTGGTCAAATTGAGGGCAGGATGGATGGAGCCAAACAGAGGAACATTCTGGAGGAAAATCTGTTTTGTCTGCAAGGAACATGGAACTAGAATAAAGCGTTCGCCTTCCAGCAGGGCAGTGACCCTGAACACAAAGCAAAATTAACACTGGAATGCTTTTTTAAACAAGAACGAGAAAGTCTCAGGACGGCCCAGTCCAAGCCCAGATACCATTCCAGTTGAGAATCTGTGACGACTTGGAAGCTGCTGTTCACAATCATTCCCCATCCAACCTGACAGAGCTGGAGAAATTTTGCCAGGAGAAATGGGCAAACATTGCAGGATCCAGAAGTGCACAATGGATAGAGACTTTTCCAAGAAGACTTGCAGGTATAATTGCTCATAGGTGCTTCTATTGATTATTGACTGAGGGATGTAAATATGTATGCAGCCAACAAGTGGCACCTTGTTTTTGTCCCCTTACCTGTTGCACCACAATAAAATATTTTGCACCTTCACAGCATTGAGCATCTTATGTAACAGTGCAAAGTAAATCCATTTTGATTGCAGGTTGTAACACAATAACATTTGAAAAAAGTCAAAGGGAGGTGGATTCTACTGAAAGGCACTGCATGTACTTTTCAGTAGTAGTGCCATCAATTCTTTTTGTTAAATGTACATGCATTTTCAAAGAGTTTCTGTTTTTATGGTCCAAAATGGATTTCAGACTTTTTAGTCCGAGGCATAGAATAGAGGCAGGGCATTTTGAAGCCTCTTGGTAATGGTGCTCTTTAGACAGGACTCATTCTTGGGAAACCTTTTTTTATGTTTCCAGTTAATTTCCAGGCACGTTTCCATGGTGCCCAAAGAAGCCATTTTGAGAAATTAGCAAGAAT